GATTGTGAAATAGTCGTTTGTTTGTCCGTCGGAGTTAGGCCATGCTTGAAGCTCAAAAGTCAAAACTCAGCTTTATGTAAATACATAAGAAGTAGAGTTTATGTACAGATGAAGATGATCAGCAGATGAAGATGGTTGTTGCTTGTATCCTTATTTATTTACTAGGAGATAACTTCTGCCTCATTTGTTGATTAATAGAGGTAAGAATTTAAATTCATCACTATATATGTTTGAATACTATATACGTACGTCTTGCTACTACGAATTGTCCAACTTTGGCTAGTCATTTAATTGCTAGCTGCCTGCCAAGAATTTTGTTGGAGGAGCCATGGATGTTACTGAGGAGAAAGATGAGCAGAGATGGAAAAACAGAAACACCCTTTCTGCAAGATTTGCCTGAAGGCTGAAGATGTTTGTGGTGCTTTTGCAGGTAGTGTGTATATGTGTTGTCAAGCACAAACAAAGACCTGATAGTTTCGAAATGATGAGAGTCTGTGCTTGGAACGATACAGAGGAGTTAGTTTACTGTTGCATTAATTCTTGCATATATATTTGGGAACTTTAACAAGAAGCTTACGGTATTGTTTACTTTAACGAAAAATCATATTTTTATACTAAAAAGTCAATTCTGGTATTATTCACTTTACCCTTTATTTTGTCTTTATCGTTAAAACTCAATGACATATTTATATATAAGCCAGACATATTTATATATAAGTTCCAACCCATGGCCTGACATGACCTAATGACCGATGAACAAGGCGTGCAACGTTGCTTTCAATCACGATGGTTTCGGCCATGGCATGGTATGGCATCCTTATGCCTTCGGCCATGGTAGACATCCTTTGTAGCTAGTCAGTCATATGGTTAAGCCTTCTAGACTCATTGCAACAAAATAACATCATATGGGTGGCGGCGGAAAGATCAAAACAAAACAAAGGGTGGAGTTTGAAAATTAAAAGATGTGAGATGTTACGATATGCAACCTAGTGTTAATCTAGGCATCAGACATGATCTAAATTTGTGCAGTACGTATCGCCTACTTGTAGTAAACAAGGCTATTTTTAATTGGGCTTTTCGAAATCCAACACAAGGGGTAGTTAGGGCTTTTAAATCCTAGATTCATGATCACTATTTTAATTCAATTTTTAGAATTTATTATTAAGAGGAGGAGTTTGAAACTATTACATTAGTTCAGAATAATAAGTTTCGAACTTGAGACGCATAATGAGTAAAAATCTTACATCCTAGCCACTAAGATATTGAACCACATGCAGATAAAGAAAATTATGTTGTGGTTTAATTAAGGAGGACTGCGAGCAACCTTTGTATTTGGACCTTTTTACTTCTCCAAATGTCATGTTTTTACACAAATAATGCCTTTAAAGCTTTTGGCTAGAAATTAAAGATGAAAACTAGAAACTATAATTTTAAAGAAAAGTCTTGTTTTTTGTGTAAAAATATGACACGTTTCATGTAAAAAAGTTAAAAAAATCCCAAATATGAAGGTTACTAACATCTTTCTTGCTTATTAATTTCTTATGAACTCTCACTAAAATTTTCAATTGGTTATATATATATATATATGTTTTTTTTTTTGATAAAATTATATTTTAACCACTTAGTATTATGTTCTAGTGGTCTTCCTGATCGTGGTGATAGGGCGATCCTAGGTCGTATCTAACTATTACTATTTTTGAAAGAGCCCAATTCTCTTAAGTCGACAGGCCCAGCTTGTACCATAATTTGAAAATCAAGCCCAGGTCCATAACACTTTCATTCTCTGGGCTACTATCGGCACGGCCCAGCCCATACAAGGTAAGTCACAGGGTTTAACATCCTATATAAACATTTCACAAGACGTTAGGGTTTCCTGTCTCGCCCAAATCACACTCACACACCAACCGGAGCCGCGGTGCGAGAGAGAGAGACAACCAGAGCAGCAGCGGAGATGAAGACCATCCTCTCCTCCGAGACCATGGACATCCCCGACGGTGTCAAGATCAAGGTTCACGCCAAGATCATCGAGGTCGAAGGCCCTCGCGGGAAGCTTGTCCGCAACTTCAAGCACTTGAACCTGGACTTTCAGCTCGTCACCGACGAGGAGTCCGGAAAGCGGAAGCTGAAGGTGGAGGCCTGGTTTGGCACCCGCAAAACCAGCGCCGCCATCCGCACCGCCCTCTCCCACGTCGGAAATCTCATCACCGGCGTCACCAAGGGGTACCGCTACAAGATGCGTTTCGTGTATGCTCATTTTCCCATCAATGCCTCCATCACTAATGAGGCCAAGGCGATCGAGATCCGTAACTTTTTGGGTGAAAAGAAGGTACCCTTTTCCACCATTTTGCCAGATTTTAACTGGGTTTGATTTGATTTTGTAGTTATTTGAGTTTGATTTTGATGTTTGTTGTGCATTTTTGGGTTTTGTTAGCTCAATTATTTGTCTCAACTGTTTGATTTGTGAAAGTTGATTTTGTATGTGAGATTTCATTGCCATTTTAGGCGGAGATTTATGATTGTTTTCCTGTTGATGTTGCGGAATTGCACAAAGTATCGTGATGCTATGCGCTTTTTTTCTGGTTTTGAATTCAGAGTGGGCATGATTGGAGTGATTACGATTACTTATTTTTTTTCGACCGTGTACATGGTTGCGTGTTATGCACAAGGTGACATTAGATATAGTAGTCCTCGCTGTCATTGGTGTAATGTAGTCCTTGAAGAGGACGTATGTAATTTAGTCCTTAAAGATAGCATATCGACATTTTCCGTTGTGATGGACACCAGAAGAATGAATGAATCTCTTCTATCGATGTTGTAGAAATGTGTCGGTTTCTGGTTCTGATTGCTAGCATATCGACATTTTCCGTTGTGATGGACACCAGAAGAATGAATGAATCTCTCCTATCGATGTTGTAGAAATGTGTCGGTTTCTGGTTCTGATTGCTTGATTCGTGTTTTATGTTATGTCCACGAGATAGTAGCCTCTATTCTTGATTTAGGTGCGGTTAGCATTATACCATTTGCATTCATTTTTCTGCTAGAATTTGGTGATTTTCACCGTCTTTGAATGCAATAAGATGTTGTAAATTATGTCATGGGATTATAAAGAGCCGGATGACATGGTTTGTAACTTATGAGAAGTGAAAAGTTTGATTGCCGATTGCGGTTAATTATGTATTATTAACGAATATGTCGTAGGTTAGGTTGAACTGTTTTTACCTTTGAACCATGAAACAACTTTTTGTATTTGGTAATGTTGTGCTTTATAGTCTATTCGTCTTGATGATTTGTCTGCTTGGTCAATCAGGTGAGGAAGGTGGATATGCTTGACGGTGTTAATATCACTCGATCTGAGAAGGTCAAGGATGAGCTTATCTTGGATGGAAATGATATCGAGCTTGTTTCTCGGTCTTGTGCCCTGATCAACCAGGTCCCTCTCTCTCTCTCCCGCTATTGATCTAGTTTTTATCTCTCTTTATGCTGACAATATGTATCGTGGATAATGCTGCGCTCGCTTGCTGATACCTTTTTGGTCGTATTTGTTTCGACAGAAATGCCATGTCAAGAACAAGGATATCAGGAAGTTTCTTGATGGTATCTATGTGAGCGAGAGGGGAACCATCGTTACAGACGAATGAAGAGTGTTTGTTTTTGCGTACTTTCAGAATGTAGTTTAATTTCCTCGTGGAATTGGCTAGTCAATCCTTTTGTTCGAGAGTTCATGTGGGCAAATTTTATAAGTTTGGTTGACTTTGGATCGATAAATTTTGTCTTCAAAAGCAATATTACATTAGGTTTTGGTTTTCTGTTGGACCTATGTATATCGGGTGTCCAATTTTGTGCCTGCTACTTAATTATCTTTAGTTATTTGGATGCTATGGAGATCAAAATTTTAAACTAAATTTGCAAATTAAATGAAGTGTCATTAATAGGAAATAAGCATGTTAATTAAAGCTTAAGTAATAATTTAATCTTTAACAATCATATTATTTGGTTTGTAAATTATGATTTAAAATTTTATTCTTTTTAACATTATTTTAGATATAATTCAATTTTACTTGATTATTGGATTGAGTCGGCTGACTCATTGTCCACGTCAACTCATTTTTATTGTACTTGTGTTACATATTTTACCTATCTACGTGTCTCAATATTTTTTTATTAATTTATCTCATATTAATTGTTAGCGGATTTCATTTACTGAGAAAATACTTTGTTGTTGTTGTATCTCATATTAATTTTGTTATCTCATAGATTTTTGTTCATACTCCTACACTCTTTGGTTATTTTTAGTCCATTATATTCTTTAAATCATTTGATCCGATTTGAAAATTGAGAGGGATGTAAGGAGTAAAAATGAATGTGTAAATAACATTGTCTAAAATAAATGATATTGTATTCAGTTTGAAACTAGCTGAATTTTTGGGACCTTGATCAAGAGAAAACACGGTTAGCAAGTATCATAATACAATTGTTGGATTTCAAGTTTCCAACTAATACAATTGTTCATTTTAGATTTTACCGATAACACACCAATCACTTGTCATAATACAATTGATTATATTTTAAGTTTCTAATTAACTGTATTATTATATTTGGTACATTTGGTGTGTAAAGAACCTTGTTCCCGAGGCACTCAAAATACTAAAAAAATGTATAGGAAAACTAACGAAAAGTAAAAAAAAAAAAAAAACATTAGTTTTAATGAAAAATGACAAATAAATGTTTAGTGAATAATACCAAGAAAAGATAAAAGTGTGATTTTTCATTAAAAATGAACAGTACCAAAAATATTTCGTTAAAACTTCTAAAATGTATTGGTAATTTTCAGGTAATACTGTCGGGTTTTGGGCAAGCAAATTTTCAGGCAAATACCGCAATTATATCTGAAAATCAAAAGTAAAAAAAATTAAAAAAAAATGGAAAAAAAAAAGAGAGAAGAATTATTATTATTTTTTTTGGATTAAATGATATATATATATTCGATTTACGCCGATGCAAAAATAGCTGAATTGTATTTTGTGAGAGAAAATAAGCCGCGAGTGAGTAGTGAGTAGTCAGATTTGATTCTCCAACATGACGGCAAGGGCTTTATAAAACCCTTCGTCTCCTTCGTCTACTTCGTCTTCGCCTCTGTGAAACCGCCAATTGAAATTCTTACTACCACCGCGGAAATCCGCAACAGCGAAGAAGATGAGTATGTTCAAGCTGAATTCCCTCAATTCGCTGCGAGCTCTGAGGCGCCTCCACGCCTCCCAATCCGCCGGCGTCAGAGCGCTCACCAACTGTTCGTCATTAATCCTCAAACAGTCGACCCCACTTCTCTCTCCCTCTCCGTCTCCGTCTGCGTTCGCACCGTCGCACAATCTGCTTGCCGTTCGAAACTACCGGAGCAGCCGCGATCTCAGGTAATTTACTCTTTTGTGTGCATTGGCTTGGTGTGTTATCGGTAACATCAGAAATGACTTGCAGATTTGATTTGGGTTTCGCGTGTTTGTGGTTTTTGAAATTACGGGTCCGGCGAGTTTGTGCGTCTCAGTGAGTTACTCGGGCTTTTATGTGTAGAAGCTATGGGATTACGCCTCCCAGGAATTGGGGCATTCGGATTGTGCCTGAGAAGAAGGCCTTTGTGATTGAGCGGTTCGGAAAGTACATCAGGACTCTGCCGTCTGGAATCCATTTCTTGATTCCGTTTGTGGATAGAATCGCTTATGTGCATTCCTTGAAAGAAGAGGTCATCAATGTTCTTGACCAGTCCGCCATTACCAAAGACAATGTCGCCCTTATGATTGATGGTGTGCTTTATGTTAGGGTAATATCACATTCCTGAATTGGGATTGTGCGCCGTGTTCATTACTGGGTCACTGAGAGCTTCTTTTCAATTATTTCTTGTGTGGGTGCAGATTGTGGATCCTATGCTGGCCTCCTATGGTGTTGACAATCCTATTAATGCAGCTATTCAGCTTGCACAGACTACCATGCGTATTGCGATCGGGAAAATCACTCTTGACAAGACGTTTGAGGAAAGAGAATCCCTCAATGATGAGATAGTGGTATGTTTATCTCCTTTTTTGCTTCTAATAACTGTAACGATTAAAACTCTGGAAAAACTTGTTCTTATTTGAAGTAATAATGTTGGTTTGAGTCTCTGACAAGAGTGTTTTGTCCCGTATTTTTATGATTTTATGTGATAATTTTCTGGTAACAAGAAAATGTCTGATGGGGGTGATGCTTTAAGATTGTCTAGACTTGTTTTTAAAGATTGTTTCAGCAGCTTAATGAAACCTCATTTTCCTTGTAAGCTAACATTTTAGGTTAAGAAATAATATGAGTGGCATCATTCTGCAGACAATTCTCAACAAGGCTGCATCAGCATGGGGGTTGGAGTGCCTCCGCTATGAAATAAGTAATAGATCCCTTTTTCAAGTGTTTTGTCGATACTCTTTGTTATTTTCTTCAGAAATCTTTTCTAAATGTTTGACTGTTCATACTTGTGTAGAGGACATAACTCCTCCTCGTGCGGTGAGGGAAGCTATGGAGATGCAAGCAGAAGCAGAACGAAAAAAGAGAGCTCAAATTCTTGAGTCTGAGGGTAAGGACTTCCACGTCTGTTTGATATTTCAGTTATACATGATGCAAGTGAAACACTGTAGTTAGACTTAGTCCCTAGGATTGCAAACAGATGATGGCTTTCTTTTTGAATTTGTGGACTTCCTTTACCTGAAGTATTTTAGTTACTCTATAAAGTAGGAATATGCACTGGCAGAAACTAATGTGTTTAATCTTTCACAGGAGAAAGGCAGGCCAACATAAACATCGCAGATGGAAAGAAGAGTGCTATAATTTTAGCGGCAGAAGGTAGATAAAGTTCTGATATAATCTAGTCCCAGTAGTGTGCAATAATATATTGTGGACATTTGATGCTCGTGGTCCTTTAGTCATACTTCCATTGAATTCTCCCTTCTCTTTTTACAGGAGAAGCGCAATCCATTCTTGCTAAAGCAAATGCAACATCTCGAGGAATTTCCCTTGTGTCAAAGTCTCTCAATGAAAGTGGGGGTGCAGAGGTGAGTTCTTCAATTCCCTTCATCGTGCTTGTTTTGAAATAGGCAGACTTGTTTTCTTATAAAAATAAAAAAGAAGCAATTAATGCATAGAATATTCAAGCCGGGGATTCCAAACTACACCTTCAGCTACAAGTAATGTTAATGTTTAATAAAAGGTGTATAATTGGAAAAATAATATTTCTTCCTCAGAGATTTGCAACATCTTCATGCAGCAATCACAGAACAACTAACTTTCCTATGTATTACACATTCACATTTGCCATCTTTGCAGTTCTTTCTAACCCTTCAGGATTACTAGATATTTTTCAAGTCCAACACATCACACTTGTCATCCACTACAATGATTACACTGTTATTTTCATATAAGTACATAATATCATGTGGTTTCCCCTCCCGCATCTTGTCAAATAGGCTTACTATTATTTTTAAAAAATATTGCAACACTGCGGGCTCTTTATCTTAGTTTTGGGGTTTTGGGATCTTTATCTTTGTTTGTTTGTTTATTCCTTGTATGGACTTTTAACTGGTTACTGTTTCTTCTTTTTCACTCTGATATACTGTTATTTTGCCCGTCCCCCATAAATCCTATGTGCATTACATCTTCTAGAGCCAAGAGTTTTTCCTTATAAGTAATGATCATGTGGTATACAGCTTTTATGAAACTCTCTTTCGTGTGTTTTGTACGTGTGGAGGAAAGCAACTAATATTGTGGTCTGATTTGCAGGCAGCTGCTTTGAAAATTGCTGAGCAGTACGTTGGTGCCTTTGGTAATATCGCTAAACAGGTGAATACCAAACCGTCTTAACTTTGGATAACATATATGCTGCGTCTAATGAATGCTTAATTGATTGATAAAGTATTTTGCCTTCTTTTTCTTGAACGGTTTTGCAGGGCACAACAGTGTTGCTTCCTAGTGCTTCAAATAATCCTGCTGGCATGATCTCTCAAGCCTTAAGTATCTACAAAAGCTTGGTTAACAATCCTTCCACCCTTGGATCAACTGGAGGCACGCACAGTGATGATGCTTCCTCTGAAGGATCTGATGATCATGGTGTTCGAATGATCGAGGAAACAACTAATCAAGATAATGCAAAGGAATCAGGATTTTCGCTTCAGAACCGCAAGAAAGGAGCATAGAGTTTGACTTCTCTCAATTGTTCGCCAATTCAACCAGTTACTGGGCTGTTCCACACCAGACATTTTTCACCGTAGGATGCTTTCGTCGTTGTTTTAGCCGAAAGGTAGGACGTGTCCACTTAATATGAGCTGTGATTAACTAAACAGTGTCAGATTTTTGCAATAAGAGTGATAGATGCCAAATCATATAAGGTATTGAAATGTTTTGGGTTGGAACTCACCATTTTGCAAATTGTCGTCTTATTGTTCTTTCATCCAGTTCAAAGGTGGATGTTCAAGGTGGATCAGGTTTTCCTTTGGGCCGTTGTGTTTCGGAGGCCCCCCTACTTGTCAGTGTGTTTTTGCTGGTAGATGATTGGGTTGTGCTGTCTAAATCCTACTTTGTGTTTTTAGGAACCTTTTTTTTTTCTTTTTTTTTTTTTTTTTTTTTTGGAACAAACAATAGTATATATACAAAGGAAGTGGGGCGAGTGGGTTAAGTCTTACAATGAGTTTGCTAATAATGTGGTTCAACTTTGACATTGACGAGAATTGAATCTAAGACTTTTCACTTACAAATGAAGAGAAATACTACTGAACCGTAGTACTAAGTGGTTTTAAGACATGTTAAAAGACTTTTAAAGAGTAGCCACTCGAGCAACGCATGAGCAGTTCTTGAGAGGCCTCAGTGGAGGTTTGAGTGTCGCTCCAGGGGCCTCGAAAGGGCTTGAGCATTGCTCTCGGATCATCTTATTAGGTTTTCGTTATATTATACTAGTACATGACTACATACAAAATGTGAAATATTTTACTTTTGTTTTTAAAATTGAAGCGTCGTAATCGTGGAGCATAATCCCCTGTGTTTCCAGTTTGCTTTGTTTGTTGACTTTTAGATACATGGTCCCCAGATTTCAACTTCATATTTGATGCATTTGTCTTCTCTTGTTGTAGATTAGGGTCATGGTGTTTTGTTTTCATCTTATTAGGATCTCATCTACTTCCAAAAACTACAACAGAAAATGGTGTTGAGTCAAAACCTATCATCTTGAAACCTATGTCATCCCTTTATCCTTTCTCTAACGCTATTATTGATAGAGAGATTTTTTAGTATGCTCGAAACACAGGATAGTACACCACATAAGCTCTGACAAAATAATATTCCAAGTCAGTCATCCTATCACACAACAATATAATATTTTGTAGGCTTAGTCTTCTTGTGAGCCTCGTGTGCTACTAATTAATGAAAAGTTGACGAAATTTTTAATTTTGGGTATAAATCTAACAGACTTCATCAGAAGAACTTAGATCCTAGTTTTTTTTACCACATGAGCTATCTTCCAACTACTCTGTCACCACGAAGACTAATAATCCTGTTAGGCGTATTCGATGATAACATTATCGTTGTAGGTAAGTCTCTCTTCAGACAAGCTCACATACAACAATGCAGGGGCAAATGGGTCTTTAACACTGAACAAGATTATGAAAGTTGCTTGCCGGCCGGCCGGCCGTCTAATGAGCTAATAATGCCACATGCGTTTGAAGGTTTTGTCAAACCAAACTTAGACTTTTCTGTGACGTATGGCAAACAAGTTGAAAACAACAACGCCACTCTTAATTAACAATTACTCGAATATCTACGCCTGCAAATTAGGCATAAAACCAAGTTTGATTAATTATTGGATCATTTGATGTTACGGAAAAAAAGAGAGAAGAGTCGTATGTTACAGACATGAGAATAACTAAGTTGGTTGTAACAACGTTATGTACCAATGAAATAATATACTATTACTGTAACGTTCTGTACCAATGAAATAGAATTATGTGTAATATTGTACCCATGTGTATTTATTTCATTAGAACTTGCCATATCTAAGTTGTTTTCGCTCTTCACACTTTGCCTTTCTTGTCGTGTACCATGGTATGCTTTGTTGCTGAAAGAAAAACAGCAAGCGCTGTTGAAACCTAATCATAAATGAACAAGTGTCTAATCATAATTTCTAATTTTAATTATACAAACACGTGTCTATTTGTGATTAGTTTTTCAATAGCACTTGCTACTCTTCTTTCAGCACCTAAGTAGGATTCTATGGACAATATAGCCGTTATCACGAGAAATTTTTAGCTATGACAGAAATATGAATGGTACACCACATGTTTTTTTTATGCAAGTGGTGGAAATTTTTAATTTTAAGTTATTAACCTTTTAATACATATAACTCACCATTTATATAAGGGCACGTGATGTACCACTTCGTATGACGATGACACTGAAAAATCTCTCCATTCCCACAGAAATTAAAATACAAGATTCCCTTCCACCTATAATCTAACAAGTGATTGAAAATTTGAATCTGACTGATTCCTTGACCCTATAAAAAATTTATTATTTTAGTAATATTTTTATTTCTTTTATGCAGTTTCATATCCCGTCCCGTTGGGATTATGGGTTTATAATCCGACCTTTCTCCAGCGCCATTCTCACACCCCGCTAGATTCTGAAAACCCAGAAAAAGCCTGGACTCTAGAAATTGTCATTTGCTATGCACTTTGTCCAATCCAAGAGTCTTTGTCCGTTTTGAGCCTTGCAATTAGTCCTGGACTATATCATCCCGAGCTAAATCCATCTGCTATTCACAACCACGTATTGTCAGTTCATCACACTCTTCACCCGTAATTTCAGACCCTTCCACTCTCCACTCAAATCCCGCCTTTCGTAAATTAGATTAGTTTAGAATATCGCTCGAATAAAACGGTTTGGCTCCCAAAAGGGAGGAAATTTATAATCGAATTGTCAAAAAGTCGTTCAATTTATCATCTGGGATTCGATGGGTTTCGAAGGAGTTGAAGAATCGGGAGGGATGGAGGTGCCCCAGTCGAAGTTCAGGTACAACTCGCCGTTTGTTCAAGTGAGTCTGATCGGATTCGTCTGTTTCTGCTGCCCTGGCATGTTCAACGCCCTCTCCGGCATGGGCGGCGGAGGCCAGGTCGATCCGACCGCCTCCAACAACGCCTCCACCGCCCTCTACACCACCTTCGCCGTCTTCGGTATCCTCGGCGGCGGAATCTACAACATCCTCGGCCCCCGCCTCACCCTCCTCTCCGCCTGCTCCACCTACGTTCTCTACGCCGGCTCATTCCTCTACTACAACCACCATAAGCACCAGGCTTTCGCCATTGTTGCCGGAGCAATCCTCGGAATCGGCGCTGGCCTCCTCTGGACCGGTCAAGGTGCCATCATGACGTCATACCCTCCCCCGAATCGAAAGGGGACGTACATCTCGCTTTTCTGGAGCATTTTCAACATGGGCGGCGTCATCGGAGGACTAATCCCCTTCGTTCTTAATTACCACCGGAGCGAAGCGACTTCCGTCAACGATGCGACTTACATCGGGTTCATGATTTTCATGTCCATCGGGACTCTTTTGACCCTCGCTATCCTGCCCCCCAGCAAAGTTGTCCGGGACGACGGGACTAAATGTACGGACATTCTGTACTCAAATGTCACAACTGAGGCCATTGAAATTGCCAAGCTGTTTACAAATTGGAAAATGCTTCTTATAATCCCGGCCGCTTGGTCGAGCAATTTTTTTTACACCTACCAATTTAACAATGTCAATCAGATTATGTTTAATCTGAGGACTAGAGGATTCAACAATGTGTTCTACTGGGGAGCGCAGATGTTGGGGTCCATCGTGCTTGGACACATCATGGATTTCAGCTTCAAGAGTAGGAGGGCGAGGGGTTTCGCTGGCATTTCTGTGGTTGGTGTCCTCGGGACTGCCATTTGGATTGGCGGACTTGCCAACCAGCTCAACTACTCTCGCCGCGATTTGCCAGAGAAGTTGGATTTTAAGGACTCGGGCTCTGCTTTCGCAGGACCATTCGTGTTGTATTTCAGCTTCGGGTTGCTTGATGCCATGTTCCAGAGCATGGTTTACTGGATCATTGGAGCCTTGGCTGATAACTCTGAAATTCTGAGCAGGTAACGTGCCTCGGTTCTCAAGTTTTAATCTCAGTGATCTTTGTGCATTTAGGCCATTTTCTGCGCGCGCGATTGGATTGGACTGGATACTCCAATCCGCGCACGAGACTTGGCCTTTAACTGTGATGCTAAATACGTGTTTTGTGCATGTATTTTACAGGTACGTTGGATTCTACAAGGGAATACAGAGTGCAGGGGCAGCAGTTGCTTGGCAAGTCGACACGCACAAGGCATCTTTCCTCGCCCAATTGGTTACGAATTTCGCGCTCAACACCGTGAGTTATCCGTTGCTGGTGGTTCTGATATTGCTGGCTGTGAAGGATGAAGGCAAGACTGATGTGGAGGAATTTACAACCAGAGAAGGTTGCTGAGCCTGCAGCATCAGAAAAGTGATCATAATGGTCGTCAGTTTAATTAGCATTTCGAATTTGCCATAATCCATCCGAATATTTGTCTTAATTACGTTCACACGATCAAATCTTCACGCTTCAGTGTAATGAAAATGCCAGTGTAATTGATGTATCATGTTCAAATTGTCTAGTATTTTACAGATTTATCGAAGTTCATGTTTTGATAAATTTTCCTTTAATTTTGGAAATGATTAGTTCTTGATCATGATTGTCTATTAGTTTCATGCCGGATTCTTTCATGCTTAAAAATTCAATGATCTCCGGCTTTCAAACGGCCCCTAAGGGAATGAATATTGGATTTGGAGTAGGTCAGTTGCCCCGTTGCACTCGCGTTTGAATCCGACCATAATAGTTTGGAATATCACCACAGAATGAATATTAATGTCTTCTTTTCACTAGAATAGTTTTTAATACCAACGGATGATGAATATTGACGTCTTCTTTTCTTTTCTTTTTCCATGTAAAGTTTGCAACACAACATGATATGTAACACAAATTTTGATTGATCTGCATGAAGGAAATGACTGTCCTAATTAACATTTTTTGTGACAAAACATACATGATTAATATATAATTCTGGCATATACATATAAATGAATTAAAATATAGGATTTTCACTACTTAATATATAATTCTGGCATTTACACATTAACTTGATGGCTTTAGGGTTCTTGTTTTCGGGATACATTAATTAATATAAAGCTGGATTGGAAGCGCATGCAATGCGATCAAACAGTAACAAGAGGTGCATCCTTAGCCTTGTCCTCTGCCGCGGCCGGAGCTGCTGCCTTTGCTAAATCCTTCTCCGTGGCCTTTGGCTTGATCTCCGCCGCTGGCTCCTCTTCTTTCGCCTTCGATGCAGGCTCCTCCACCAGCTCTTTCCCCTTAGTCTCCTTCACAGCCTCAACGAGATTAATCTCCGCCAGTTGCTTGGCAACAACTTCGGCTTGATCAACCACTTCCTCTTTTGGCTTCTCAGTTGCTACCACCTCAGCCTCGGCCGCAATGGCAGGGACAACAGCAGGTGCGGCCGCAACCTCAGCCCCCTTCTCCTTTGGCTTTGAGAGGTCTACCAAGGGTGCTTCAGTGGTGGTCTCCTCTTGTTTCTCAGCCTCGGTGGTAGTGGCGGTGGTGGTTGTAGTAGTGGCCTCACCCTCCTGAGGGCCATCAGCCTTCTTGGGGCTGGTGGTCTCGCTAGGGAGGGTCTCTGGGCGAGGGGCGTCGAACTCCTTTGGCTTGCTCGCACAGCCTCCCATGATTTGATTCGGTTGATGGGACGAGTGAGCGAGTTTTGGAGTTGGACGTCGGGGTCCGGGATATTAGGTATTAATTTATCAAAGGAGAGGAGGGGCGGTGTTTGAGGCTGAGGGAAAATGTTGGAGGACAGAATGGGTTCATATAGTGGAACAAGAGTCTTATGTTTAGGAGAAATTGTTGGTCATCAGCCTGGCAATTACCTGCATTTTCAAACCCGACAACTCTACTTCTGTTTCTCCTCCGATTTTCTAGCTAGGAAATTAGAGAAGGTGGTCTTCCAGTTCGTTATAACGGTTGGTCGTTTTCAAATTTTGTGCGGCTGTCCCCTTCGCCACGTGTCTCTTGTTCCCAAAATTTGGAGCAACAACCCCTCCAAAAATAAAATAAAATACCAATTAACGATACTAAGGTGAAACTATTAAGCAAAACGTGTGACGACATTTTTCGCTAATTTATTTCAATTATTTTCAAACGTGTAACGATACTAAATTTCGTTTGATTAAGCGAATAAGCGATCTCAGATCCTTGATCTCAAATTTACATCAAAACATTACTGCTCGTGTAACAGTTACTTAATGATTGGGAGGTATAAAATGTTTTACATCAAGAATGGGAGATGCTTAAGTCTTTTGTTTTAAAAGCCTTCATTTTGTATTAAATCTTCTGCACCTAAAATAAATGCGGCTTCTCTACGGCCTCAATGAGTGTTTGATATATACATATTAAATTTATGACAACAAAATTAAGAAAATATAAGATAATAAATATGTGTCAATCACTTATTGGAACCACAGAGAGACCACACCTATTTTGAGTGCAAAAGGCTTGGTCTCCTTTGTTTTTACCAAGAAACGACATAAGTAATTTGAGCTTGAGTGCAATTAGAGGGATTACACTTATACGAGTAATTGACCTAGCTCAGTAGACGATGCTTTACCATAGTGGCCGAAAATAATGCCTTTGTATATCTTGGTGCATGTACAATCCCACTAATTCCCCTCCCCTCCCCTAACAACTAACTATTTAACTAGCTACTAAAAAAAAAACTAACCTAGCTCATAAATAAACACATTCAATGTCTACACTAAAAGTTCGACCAAAAAAACTTTGCTTAGTATTAATACTACACTGTGGAAGTTTTTTTAGGGTAGTGATATCCACACACTCATTTTTCCTTCTCACGCATCCCTCTCAATTTTCGACCGTCCGATCAAATGAATTGAAGAAGATCAGTAATAAAAAATTAGCAAAAGTATGTGAGAGGTAACATGAATATATGAATAGCACTTTCTGTTGTTTAATACAACGATATATTTATGTGGCATTTCCTTAGGGGTTTTCGGAAAAAGAAAAGGTATATTTGGTAAAAGAAATGGCATACGCCCCAAAATCCACAACCAATACACGTAATAGTTGTAATGAATTCAACGCCGCTGGTGACGAGAAAAGAAGCGGGAACAATGGCCGTCCCAAAAATCCGGCCGAGATCAACGTTAACTGTCCAAATCTATCAGCCGCAAAAACGACACTGTAGATGCGCAAATCAAACTCAAAATAGGCACATTACGCGTCTGATCTCTGTTCCCTTCGTTAAACACCGAAAAATTAGGGATTGAACTGGACGTTAAGCTAATCCTCCCCCTAATTATACAGAAATTCGAGAGGATATATTGAGTAAGTAGTCAAAAGGGATCAAACATTCCCATGGTAAACTCAGATTCGCCAACTTTTTAATTTCTAAATCCTTAAACCTAACCTGACCTGATTTGGAGAATCAAATCTCTCAAATTTGGGGAAGGTTCAGGGAACAAGAAGAAGATCAACAAGGATTTTTTGGGGAGCTGAGATTAATTTAATTTAACTTTAAATGATTTCTCCTCCTCAAATTTCTTAAGGTTTTGCAGAATACAAAGGCGAGCTTCGCTTCGCTTTTCTTTTGAAATCCATCCGCTTTTATTCCTGATTTCGAAAGAAAAGGAAAAAGCTCGCCTTACGTGGTAAATTGAGTGAAATAATTCAAAAATCCAATGGAAGCCCATTTCGCAAAATTGGTGCCAGTCCCTCTCATCCTCCTGAGCCTCTTCCCAATCATTGTCTTCTGTTCCTTCACTACAGTTCGATCCGACCACGAATCATCTACGATGATTAATCTCCGGTTGCCCTCAGATGCCACGTCCGCGGATCGATGCAGTGCACAAGTGGAGTCACCCTTGTCCCGCCCCATGTGTCCGGTAAGCTGCTTTAGACCAGACCCCGTGTGTGGGGTGGACGGGGTGACCTACTGGTGTGGGTGCCAAGAGGCACAATGTGCCGGTGTTAAAGTGGGAAAATTAGGGTTTTGTGAAGTGGGCAACGGGGGTTCTGCCCCTCTCTCTGCTCAGGCGCTGCTTCTGGTTCACATTGTTTGGCTGATCGTTCTCGGCTTTGCGGTTCTTTTCGGGCTGTTCTGAATCGAGAACGACCATTAGTTGATGATGATTTTGCTGGTTTCTTGGAGGTCAAGCAAGCTTCAATCCTTTTAATCTTCTTGCAATGCAGAGACCATTTAACCGATCAATTGATATGACCCAGACACACAGAAAAACAAAGAACATGCGTGTTGTGCAAGAAAGTCGTGATCTTTTGTATCTTTAATTTTTTTTTTTTTTCCTTGATTAGGTTTATCTTTGATACGAAAAAGGCCTCTCTTACATCATTGAGTAATGGGATTATTTTCATTCACCATCCTATTTATCACGGTTAGATATATTTAAATTTTGAGATCTGTGTAGTGGATAGATATAAATATCAAAATTTAAACTCATTCAACAGTGATAAATAAGATGATGAACATTACCACCACTAGAGGGTGGTGAGCAAAAATACACCTATTGAGTGATAGAGGAGGATATAGATAGGCCCTTGTGCTTATGGTTTGATTTATCAGAAACGGATTGTTGGAAAATAGATAACACTTGGATTTTTAAAGTTAAGATGAAAATGTACCATTTGATTAAATCTAATGGCTCTTATAAAAAAGAGTCATCACAAATCCTTAAAATGAGGACCTTAGGTACATCAGTGTTTGATCACTTGTATCTGTACATGAAAGAAAATCGAATTAACGGCTAGGGTTTATTTATTTATTTATTTTTATAAAACCTTCTAGTCTTACCTTTTTTCTTGATTATTTGTATGAAATTATAACGTTTGACATTGAAATGGGCCAAATGGTCAACGAATCTCTTTCAATTAATTTGAGCCCATTACATGCCAAAATTGTTATTGGACTTCCGGATGCGGTCCACCCGGCCCACAATCCATAAGACGGCTAGTCGCCCAACACCACACGCTGCCTTTTCTGGTCATCCTGTGAGCTCTGAGAAACCAGTACCGCCACTTGTAGCCGTTGGCAGCCAAACGCTCCGCCACCGCCACACAGAGCTTGAGCTTGAGCTCCCAGAAATGTTATTTTCTTGCGCTCCGTTTGGAATCTCCAACCCCATCGTCTTCCTCACCTTCACCAATTTCGGCCACCGCGCCAGTAATTTCCTCAAAGCCAAACGCGCGGCCTCAATCTCCTCCCTAAATTACCAGTCCGCCACAACATCGCAGGCCCACTACGACAGTCTTAGGGTTTTGGAATGGGACAAGCTCTGCGACTCCGTCGCCTCCTTCGCGCGTACTTCGTTAGGCCGCGAAGCCACCAAGGCACAGCTTTGGTCTTTGATTCAGACGTATGAAGAAAGCCTCAGGCTTTTGGACGAAACCAACGCCGCCGTCGAAATGCGCAAGCACGGCGGTTGTTCTTTGGATTTCACCGGCGTCAATGTCGTTTTGGTAACGCAATCTTCCAAATTTCCATGCGTCTTGTCATTCATTTCCCGGAAATTTGATGACTTTGCCTGCTTCTCACTGGATTTTAGGTGCAATCTGCCATACAACATATCCGGAGGAGTTCGCCACTGGACGGAGACGAAGCGCTAGCTGTGGCGGCGATGCTGCAGTACGCGGAGAATTTGCAGAGTAATCTTAAAGCTGCTATCAAGGAAGATGCAGATTGGTACACACGCTTTATGCCGCTTTCGGAAGTGGTAAATTTTACAACATTGAGATTTCGAATAAAGTAGTACCCATTGTTAACATACATTTCAATGAATTTATATGTATCTACTTTTAACTGCTTGCACAGATAATGGAATTTGAAGTTAATCGGTCACTAGTTAAGCTGATACAGCAAGTTATAGATGAAGATGGCAGTGTTAAAGACTCTGCGGTTCGTTACTACCTGTGTTATTTTGTATTTATGGTGTTTTTTCCCCTGATTCTTGCCTCATTCAAAACTTTTGTTCCTTGTTTTAGAGTCCTAATCTGAAACGATTGCGCAGTCAAGTTCGGATGCTTGAGGGAAAGGTAATTTCTTATGTTTTCTTTATCATCGCCCATGGACATTTGAGAAGACGATGAATTTTCTTGGTCTTGAGGTTATTGTTTCTCTTCATACTTAATCACAACTTATCGTATGACTTATTGCTCTGCTGTTCAGATTAATCAGTTAATGGACAGCCTAATTAGGAATGACAAGAGTGAAACGCCCTCCCTTGTAAGAAGCTCAAGTTCAGGGATGTATATGGTAACATCTTCAAGATTATTTTTCTAATTATTATACTGTAATTGGCTCAGGAAGTGAGTAACATTGATGGTAGGTGGTGCATAAAATCAAGCGCTAACGAACTGAAAAATTTCAAGGGTCTGCTGTTGCCCAGGTCTGTAAAGTTTGTTGTATAACTTTTATCAACTGTGAGCATTCAAACAACACTTTATTTATTGTTTTAAGGTCTTGATCATATTTTGTAGTTCTCTCTCAGATGTTGATTGATTCAGTCCTGAAAGTGATGTAATGTTATAGTCGTTCAGGCATAGGAAGCATTGTCGAGCCATTATCTGCTATCCCTCTAAATGATGAGTTGCAACAAACAAGGGTACTAGTTTCAGAAGCTGAGGCAGAAGTTCTCTCAATGTTAACAGAAAAGGTTTCTGGCTTTACGTGGTATAACTATTCTTTTTCTGGCTATATAATATTTTCCCCTTTTTTATGTTTATCTTCTTGTTGTTTTCTGTACAGATGCAAATGGATCTTGATAACATTGAACAACTATCCAACAGAATAATCCAATTGGATGTGGTAGGTTGCTGCCACCATTTAATGATATCTTCTTTCAGCTCGTTCTCTCTTTCATTTTATTCTTGAACGGGATCAACTAACTTCTAAAGAAACAAAGGGGATAATAAAAGAAAAAACTTTCATACCTTAAAATTTGAATGCCTCAAAAGCAGTCTTCACAAAATTCAGAATCATTACTCAAGTTTGAAGCACATTCCAACTGCATGATCATATTTTGATGGAATTTTTTCTAAATGCCATTACGGCTGTTACTTTTTCTCTTATTTTGGTTGGAAATTCATTAGTTTGGGCTGTTAATTTGTAGGTCCATGCCCGAGCAACTTATGGTCTATCATTTGGGGGAACATATCCGAAAATATTTCTACCAGGAGGGCATGGCCCTTCCACTTTGACCAACTTATCAGGGAACAAACATCAACAAGCATCTGATCCCTCAAAGAGTGAATGGGTGTTGTATCTGCCGAAAGCTTATCATCCTCTATTACTTCACCAACATAGAGAAAATTTACGGAGGGCTAGGAAGGAGTTAAAGAATGCCACTATGGTACTTATGTGATAACTCATAACTGTAATCTGGTGCCCATTTGTTATATGAATTAAACTCAACTTTATTTTTACTGTATTCTTTTAATAGAGTGGCGATCAGTAGGACTTGCATTGAGGTGATTGCCTTATCAAGAGTCAGTAGTTTACTTCTTGACAAGTATGTTATAAACATTTGGTTCTGTTACTAGGAAATCAAAAGAAAAGTACAAGGAGAGAATGTTACACAGAAAGCAGGAAAAGATACCGACATTTCATCCTTAGAATTGAAGGTAATCTCTAGTTTAATAGGGTGATTATTCATAATACAGCTGGCAGGAAATTCTTATCTCTTAGTGTGCAGACACTATATTTATTAAACAGATATTTTGTTGTTAAGAATGTTTTACCTCTGTTTGCCAGGCTAAAGAACTGGAACAAGCTCGACCAATTCCAGTTGATTTTTTCATAGCTAAAAAAACACGAGTTTTGGTTATCACTGGCCCTAATACGGGGGGTAAAACCATTTGCCTAAAGACCGTAGGATTGGCAGCTATGATGGCAAAATCAGGTTTATCTAACATATCTTAATTCTTTTAGTCATGCCTTTAAGTTTTACTAGTAGTCTCACTATTATACAGATACTATAATTGTTATACTTTCTCTTATCAATCTGAGATTGTTAATATCCAGTCCACAGACATTTCGGATGAATAGGTTTATGAAATGAAAACAGATTGCTCTCCAAGCGGGTAGAAAGTATTTAGGGACATAAAATTGTCACAAATGCAACTTTCAACACTTGTAACCCCCTTTTTTACACATTGCAGGTCTTTATGTTTTATGTTCCGAATCAGTACAAATCCCTTGGTTTGATTCAGTTTTTGCTGACATTGGTGATGAACAATCCCTGACCCAATCGCTTTCCACCTTTTCCAGCCACTTAAAACATATAAGCGTAAGAAAAAAGTTCTTTCTGTAAGTTTTTCTACCTTGTCTTTAGTAAAGCTTCCAAATGGTAAACATGATCAACAACGAAGGTAGAATAGATAAAAACTTGATTGAGACATTTACTGCAGGAGTTTCGGTGAAAATTCTTGACTATATGTTTATGATTCTTGCAGGACATCCAAACACAGTCAACAAGTCGTTCACTTGTGCTACTAGATGAGGTCTGGTTATATTGACTGTTTTTTAAATGAAAAAAAATGTGAAAAATAAAAGGAAATAAAGATGAATACAGGTATTACACAACTCGTTTTGCGTTTGTTAGGTTGGTGCAGGAACAAATCCTCTCGAAGGAGCAGCACTGGGGATGTCTCTTCTGGAATCTTTTGCTGAAACTGGTGCTTTGTTGACAATTGCTACAACACATCATGGTGAACTCAAAACCCTGAAATACAGGTATATGACATACAAGTTAAAGATGCAAATATTGCATTACTATGACAGTTCAACTATTTAACACATCCAGTTTTTAGTGGAAAAAAAAAAATGTTTGTCAGACTTATGGTCAAAGTTTGTTCTGCATGTGGTTGATTGAGGCAAAATTTGCCCCATCTTGGAACTTGAAATCTATATGAGCCTATATAATATTTGCGCTGCTATAAAGTCTTTGTTTTGTGTTGACGAGATTGTTTCTTTGACAGCAATGAGGCCTTTGAAAATGCATGTATGGAGTTTGATGAAGTGAAGTTAAAGCCAACGTACAGGATTCTCTGGGGAGTACCAGGTCTCCATTATGACAAACAAATTTAGCTTTTGTTCTGATTTTTCTTTTTAAATCCGTTATCCTGGTGACAGAAGAAAGGAGGAGCCATACTGTGTAATTTACTAGTAGTCGTGTGGTGTACCCATCTGCATAATGACTGAAGGATTAAGATCTATTCCACAGGGCGTTCAAATGCAATCAATATAGCTGAAAGGTTAGGACTACCTGGTAAAGTTGTAGATAATGCCCGTGAACTATATGGTGCAGCTAGTGCAGGAATAGATGAGGTAACATGCATAGCTTTTTTCAAGTT